TGGAGGAAATCGAGCGGTCATGTGACGACAGAACACCTAAGGCAAGCTTAGTTTGGGCTCGTCCACAGGGTTGCACCGGCGCCGAACCCCGACCCCGACCGCCGACCGTTTTGTCCCGACCGATCGGCGCCAACCGGTCGGCGGTCTGCCGACCAGTCAGAAAACAGGCATCCGCTGCTTTTTTTTTTTTTTCTGATTGCGCAGCCTTACTGCGCTTGCTGAGTACAGCCCAAATCCGCAGAGAAACTTTTTGGGATGGGGGAGGGGTATGGGGGGTTGGGGTTGGAGCATACCTGCGGCGCAAGTGTGCTGGTCACCGATGCGCAAAAAAAAAAAAAAACGAAAAAAAAAACGGCCGTTATGTGTGAGAACACGCAAAAGAGAGAGAGAGTGAGGGAGAAAAATGTAAACAAATAGCTCCTTAATATTTATTTCAAACCCCCTGCGGGTTATCCGAGAGGGCCCTGCACACAATCAGCAAGGGCCAAGTTGCCATGAACGAGTTAGTAATCATAGCCATGCTGAAGTCATGGCACGCCAAGTATATATGATGTAACTGCTGTTGATTCACTTTAAGGTCCGTGTTTCAGCAGTTATGGGACCACTGAGCACGCGAGTTTCTGGGCAGTAGCAGGCCAACTCACCACGTGCTTTTCACGGCTTCCCTCCACTACAAATGTGCAAAGCTAGAATGAATCTTCTGCTAGAACATGGAACCGTACGCCGCCATATGTTTTGTCTTTTGTGCAAGTGGTGACCAGTGAAGCAAGGCCCTTAGGGCCACTTGTCGTAGGAAAAGGAAACAAAAGAAAGAGAGGAATGAATCTTCTGCTAGAACATGGAACCATACGCCGCCATATGTTTTGTCTTTTGTGCTGGTGACGAGTGGAGCAAGGCCCTTAGGGCCACTGCTCGTAGGAAAAAGAAACAAAAGAAAGAGAGAGCTACGGTAGCAAGTAGTTGTAACTTGTAACCCATAACTGCTCGAAAGCAGACCTGACTTCGGATCCAGAACATATATTGCTGGCCTGCTCCTCTTTCATACGAAATTTGCTGAACATCTCTTGAGATGTTGGGACCCTTGCATATGTACTGCTGGGGTCCTCCGCGAAAAAGACTATTCAACAAGGAATACGTGGGGCTATTTTTTTTTCTGTGGGGAGGTGCAGCACCATTGGCTACCTCAGCCAGCCTTCTCCAAAAAAAAAATTTATACCCTATTTATTGGGGTGCGTCGCATCACGTGCGTGTGCATGCTTACATCTGCGTTATGCGCCGCACGTGCGGAGCTTGTGCGCACGCGATACGCCGCAGGTATGGGTTGGAGTATAGGCGGAGTATAGGGGTGATATAGGGGATATTGGGGGGGTTAATAAGGATGTTGGCGGCGGTTCGGGAGTGTTAGGTTGGTGTGCGGGTATTGGGGGCCGCTATGGGGTGTGGGTGGGGTTATTAGGGGTTCTGGATCCCAAAAACAAAAACAAAAAAAAGTGCGGGGTGCCGATGATCCCCGACTGCTAGGTGCCGACCAGCCGATCGGTCGGCGGGTCGGCAGCCGACCAGTCAAGGGCTGCCGACCGTCGGGGTGTGCAACACTGCTCGTCCACAATAATCCAAACCACACTGCACTGGGAGCTGGAGGTCACTCGCCTGCCACCCAGCAAACTGCAGAGTGTGAGCAGTGCAAAGAAGTAAAGCTTGAGAGAGTTGGGGGCAAGTGAATCCAGCCTGAACAGTCAGTGTCACCCAAGCTGATCCCGTGGAACTCCATAGATAGCCACACAGGACCACAGGTGTATTAGGTTGGCTGCTGATTCGATCCCATCAATTAGTGCGGACCACCTGGCAAGCCTTAGCCTTGCCCACTTCCCCTTCCATTCAGGCATGGCAACAACAACACCACCATCTTTTGATTACCCATCCCCAGCTTCACAATCACGGAATAAAATGACTTACTTGACGAAGTTCACCTCTGAACCTCATGTGATATACCCAGTCCATGTGGCTGAATGGTACACGCATGTCATTATTCAAGAACAAGGTTCCAATGGGATTAGATTGGTGCAACAATGTTAGGAGCTACCCCCATATTAACCAACACGAATAGAAAAACGAAACCCTTCAAGTGGCATTACTCAGTCCATTCTGGTACGACCAAGCCACTGCTGATCCTGCTTCCATCCATGCATCACTATTCAGCGCAACAGGTTATTCACTATAAGAATAGGCCCTTGGGGCCTGTCTGTCCTAGGGGTAGCCCGGGCCTGCTATTCGCAGTTAGGATAGCAGTAGGAAATCCGGTTAGTGTCGGGCCTGTATTTTCCCAAATTTGCAGGTATGTCCCTCACGAATTTCCACTACAGGTAGGTCTCTCGGTTAGCCCTCAGCCAAACATAATTACGAATCTACCCTACCTATGGTACAGCCTCGACACAGAGAGGCTACAGGCAACCAGAAAACAGCAAGTCATTGCAAAGTAGTCTCCCCCTGCACTACCCACCATCGACACTTGGACGTATGATCTGTTTATCGACGGCTACATGCATGTACCAAGCATTCTTTTCAACCATGACCACAGTGGAGAACACAACTGATGGTGGGGGCGCTGATAAGAGCAGACACCCCTCCCATTCCGCATCATGATGGCTCCGTTCCATTGGTGGGGAGCTGCACCTGCTGGAAATCGGGTCCAGCGTCCCTTAACACAATTGAACTATACTCCATTTCAGTCCGCTGACTGGAATACCCAGTCTTACCAGAGTCTACTTCCATGCCAGATTTTTGCTTCTGATGTTGTATGTACCAAGCATTCTTTTCAACCATGACCACAGTCCAGATGTTACATGCTGAGCCTGCTGACAGGCCCCATTTTGGGGGCCCGATGGTTGCTGGGGGCCCCCAGGCCACACCCCCTTCGGACGCGCGCCCTGGAGGCCCACAGCTGGCCCTTAGGCCGCAGGATTCGATTCGAGACAGCATTCATTTATTTATTTGCTGTCCTATTTTTAGCTGTTCAGACGTCGTTTCGGACCTGCAGTCCTCAAGGCTGCACCTTGGGCCAGGTTCACCAGGAGGCAGGCCTCCCTGGCCAGGTACGGGGTCTGGACGTCCGGTCGGAACCCAGACCCAGTAGGCCCACATTTTGGCCACAGGACCGTGGGCACACAGAGGCAGACCGGCCCGCCCAGCACTACTTATAGCCGGGCCACGGCTGTGCACACACACAGTTGAAGTAGCTCACTTCTTGTGCGACACGTTGCTGGAGCAGCGCTGCGACACTAAAGCGCTACGCTAGGAGTTAGAGGTGTAGGTAGGACGAGGGGCGGAGGCCATACCTGCGTCGGCGGTACTTACCTGGGCGCCATAGCTGCACCCCATGCCAATGACCTGCACAGGGACCACGACGACAGTCAGTACATGGCGGCAGTTACCTGCAGGTGAGACAGCAAGGGGGACGACATTTTCTTCTTCTTCTTCGTCTCGCCCTCCATCTCTTCTCCCTCATTTCTCCTTCTCCTCCTCCTCCTCCTTCTTCTTCTTCTTCTTCTTCTTCTTCTTCTTCTTCAGAGGGAGAGAGGTTACCAGCAGAGGTTACATCGGGCATCAGGCCCAGGATCTGATTCAACATTTGTGGCAGACATTGATTGGACATTTGGCAGGGAGACTATATTCGGACTTAGCTATCGCGATCTTGGTCTTCTCCCTCACCTCCATCTTCGTCTCGCCTCTCCCCCCATCTCTCATCCGTGGTATCTCCCCCATGTGTGTGTGCAAGGAGGGACCTTTCTTCTGTGTATGTGGTCCCTCCTCCCTCTCTCACGTGTGGTGTATGATGGGATGTTGCATCAGTATCTGATAGGTCAGGTCACATCTTTGAGTCTTCCGCTGCACTACATTGTGCTATTTTCATACGTATCTGGATGTGCATTGCTTGTGATGCTTTGCTAACCCTGCATTCGAGTCCTTTTGATCACTTTGCGGATCCTTGGCTGCATATACATTGCTCAACTGAGCATGTATCAGAGCACGAGTGAACTATACACCATTTCGGTATGCAGCGTGGAATACCCAATCTTACCAGAGTCTACTGCCATGCCAGATTTTCGCTTCTGCTGTTGTTTTGTTCTGCAGCGATGCACCTAGGACTGTCACACTTGACCACTTCACAACCTCGTGCACTCTATCGCTCCTCTACCGCAGAGATGTATTGATGTTACCCCCAGCTGGCACACTTTATTTTTCCTTTCGGGGGGGCTTAATTGCATTCCTCAATCAGCTCATAATCCTGAGTCTACAGAGAAGCTTTCAACTGAACACACCATGTCCGTCATCATTACCATGACTCTCTCTGCCGCATCCAACATTGCATGAAAAAAAAATCAACATAAAACATTGAAAAATTGAAGGCGAGACAAAGCATGCCAACAATTTGCCTCAAGCAAACCCATCCATTCCCAGCAACCAGAGCAACACAACCCCAGCTTCACAAAGAAAATGGTGCAAAACTGCAAATGCAAAAAAAAACAGAAAAGAAAGCAAAAAAAAAAAAAAAAAAAACATCGAAAGTGAGGCAACCCAAGGTTCACAAGAACAGGATGCACACAAACAGGGGAAAGGAGGGGGGGGCCAACAGACAAAACAAAACAGGAGTAGCACAACCCAAGGTCAACTCAAGGCCGCGACAAACAGAAGTTTCGTAGACAGCATTGGAAAAAAGCAGGCAGCAAGGTGTAAAACCGATCCTAGCCATCCAAACCCACAACACATAACACCAATGACGAAGACTTGTCACACAACGTAACCAACCTATCCTTCAGAATGGGAGAGGAAAGACGTAAGAGGAAGAATGCGCATACCATTGACACCCTCCGGAGAAGCCAAGCTACTTGCCGTCACCCGATTCAATTTCATTTCACCCTATTCAATTCCATTCCTTTTCCCTTGGCCATCTTTCAGAAGCAAGCCAAGTTGGAGAGAGCCAGTATGACGTGTGACCTCACCTTGTCGCCCCACATTCACGCTTTCCCAACCAGACTCCTTGAGAGAGAGCAAACTGGCAAAATCGATCATGCACTGGCAGAACTCCCTCCCTATTGTCCGCCTTCCTCAGGTACTTCAGCAAGCCGACAAAAGACATTTACCATCCCACTTCAGCCCACGACAACCTGTCCCACTCCCCCCCTTGCCCCGCTTCCCCCTCATTACCTCTGTGAACCAACCACCTGCCTTCCAATCACAACACTGGGCTTCGGCCTTTCACGCTGTACCCAATGAAGAACCCACATACCTCGCTCCACCCATCCCACCTCCCGCCTCCTCACCTATCTACACAACAGCAGAGCATACAACCAAACAGGATAGATAATGAGGCGAAAAGCATACATAAACTGCACAAACTTTGCAAGGCTCTCCTAGCCTCAACTTTTGAGAACCACACAAGGAAGGAAGAAACTGTGTGCGACTAGATAGGCACGGGGGAGAAGGGGCAAGGAGATGCCAGGAAGTTCAGAGAGAGAGAGAGAGAGAGAGAGAGAGAGAGAGAGAGAGAGAGAGAGGGAGGCATAGAATGCAAAAAAGCCATCTGCATGATGCACGCAAGAAGAAAACAGGTGAGGGGGATGGAAAAGAAAGGGTGATCGGCACAAAACAGAAGCTGGGAAGAAGAACAAAATTGAAAGAAAAAAACAGAAGACGAGGGAAAGAGATGGACAAGAGCACCTGCAAAGGGAGCACAGCAAAGCTCTGCAAACCGACAAAAGTTTCTGCGATGCCCCATTTTCACCCCATCCAGAAGGGTACTTCGGATTTTTTTTTTAATCCGTTTTTCTTGCATTTTTCTCGATTTAGGCCTGTCATCCTTACGCAGGGGCCGCGCTAGTCTTCTCTGTATTGTTCCAATTTTTATGGATGTCCTGGAGAACAGTTTTTCTTGTGTTTTTACTTTTTGCCCTGTTTCGTTTAGGGCAACACCTGAAAACCCTGAAAATCAGAAAAGCACGCCAGGGGCTAGGCTACTTGCCCGGCCGAGCCAAATAGATATATATGCTGTGCCTCTAGTGCCAGCGGCGTATCTGGACTGTATTTTTTGGCTGTGACAGACCTTTCTTTGTTTCGCGGATGTTTTGCTGGCTTGTGATGGGGTGTGAACCGACAGTCCGTAGAGTTTTCCATCTGGTGTGGGTGAGTGATAGTCTACTTTGATTTTGGTTAAGGTAGATTATCATTTACAGTGTAATCAGTGAGGGGATTTTGCAGACTGTTGAGGGTTCAGCCTCCTGATGAGTCGGTGAAACTC